AGTTTATAATGCCTATGGGCACGTATAAACTTGCTGTAATCGAACTTCAGTTGCGTATGAAGGAGATTTTTCGTATTCGGAAAGATCACGCTTGTAGGTGTTGAATGATGTGTTCTTAATGCCAAAGGATAAAAATTAAGTGTGGAAGTACTAAACGCCCTAATGATCGGAAGACAAACACTGTGTGAAACGTTTTTCTGTAAAATATGAACTGAAAGTAACCGTAAACTCCATGCACAGCTTCCGCGAAAACACCAAGCGAAATATAATTTAATTTAATTTAACACACAAAACGCGCCTATGATATTCCAATGCATGACTATAACACTAACCGTTTTAGAATGGCGTTTTTTACCATCCATGCTATACTATAATAATTGAGTAGACTAAGCAGTGTATATAGCTACTAAAAAGACTAAAGAATTAACAGACAGGTGCCTTGCCGTCACTGCCGTGCACCCTGAGTATGCGTCCGTAAGTCATCTCAATTCCATCAGACATACCCGATGTAACAGCTGCGTGTTTTGTTGCCGATGGTGCGCATGGAGGACAGCGCACAGACAACAATAAGAGTGCGTATGGTCTACTTAAAAGATGATGTAATTGCAGTTAGGCATAATCGTAGGAGAGAATTGTCCCCCTATTGACTTGCCGTACTGATGCAAAATATTTATGTCGAATTGGCTACTAGAAAATACATGAGCATGAACTGCATCTTACCAAAGGTGGACAATTTCTTACTTGAAGACAGTTGAAATGTTATTTTGAAGCCATCCGGTTGAGTAGGCTTGCTAGTCGTTTTATACTGCGTTAGGTAACAGAACTTACCAAATGATGAATAATGTTTCGTAATATTGACATTTAGTGTTTCTTGTTATTATGTTGATGTAATAAGCTTTAATATCATGTTTTGCGCATGGCCAGAAATCACGGACATTTGCATTTCTCAGGTTTCACGTTACCACGAGCACCCACGCAACAATGGCTGCGCAATGCCCTATGTTTATTATCTGGCGAGCAGAGTATATTCAATATAGCATGCTATATATAAATCTTTGAATATTTGTTGAAATTGGTTCCAGAAGTAGCGGTCGTATAGTAACACATCAAGAAAAAATGTTCTCATTTCTTTGCATACTCGCTCTGCTTTTTGCGATTGAATATTACAACATTTTACCTCACTTTACATAGGAATCTATAAAGGTTTCTCGCTCAAAAGGCTATATCTCGTAATATATTCAATTATCGAAATTTGTTGAAATCATTTTATTTTGACGAATAGTATAGCCTTGCCTTCCGCCGTTTATTATTTTGTTATACCCGATAAAAGCTCTGCTTTTTTGTTTTGAAATTCGCAATCCGGTGCGTTAATATGCATATTATAATATTACTTCGCGATCGAAAAGTGATATTCCATTCGCTTGCCAAACTTGAAATATTTATTGCCTTCCTACATGTTTGGTACCAAAATACTCGTCGAAATCTTCTCTTTTCGTTCCCGTAGTCATTGCTTAGCTACACCCCGAGCCTGGTAAACTAAAGGCCACAACTTGAATGCATACTTCATGCTTTGCTTTATAAACAACACCCACGCGAATATTTGAAATTCCGGATGCTTTGATAGGTCGTAAAAGGATAATTAGGGATTCTTGTGGATAAACGGAAAAGCCGCTGACCGACTGGTACGCTTGCACAATGTCCGTCATTTCTGGCCATGGGTTTTTAAAGGTTACTGATGTACATGTATAAGACTACCGCATGCATGTTTACAGCAGTCTTTAGCAGTTTTATAGGTCCTCTAATCTTACAAAATGTAATTAAGTCTTATTTTGACCGCATGTTATACAGGTTAGTTATTGAAATCTTTATAAAAACTAACTATTAGTCAAGGAATCCACTGACTATTATTAAGAAGGAATCCGGAATCCGCGGGTCAGGATCCGGAATCCACGGATCAGGATCCGGAATCCACGAGCCAGGATCCGGAATCCGACACCATCTTGGATTCCTTTACATAGGGCGAATATATTATATTGATATATTGCGTGGTTCCTTAAGAACGGAGCAACAATATATTATATTGACAGTATTGCGTGGTTCTTTAAGAACGGAGCAACAATATATTATATTCATATATTGCATATTATATTGATAAATTTCGTGGTTTCTAAAGCACGGAGCAACAATATATTATATTGATATATTGCATATTATATTGATAAATTGCGTGGTTTCTAAAGAACGGAGCAACAATATATTATATTGATATATTGCGTGGTTTCCTATTTTAGGTCGACCTGTAAATCATTCATTTTCACGAACCGCGTATACGCTTCGTACGGTCCGTAAAGCCATTTCACGGACCGTACGGATTTGTCGGATCGTGAATCGTCTTACGAGCCATACGAACGGTACGATCCGTCGAACTGTTGGTAGATCTGGGCAACAAGCATCCGCTATTGGAGACCACCTATTGCGTTTACGAGTTGATACGGATCGTGACTCGTGTTTACGGTCCGTACGAATTTGACGGATCGTGAAGCTGCTTCACGATCCGTATCATGTCGACAGTATTGGACATGTATGATTTTTAACTCAGTTTGAAACTTCAAATGCGATATAATTTTGGCTTGGACCATCTAAGCTGACTGACATCAACTTGCTATAATTTCTGTTTACATTACATCGCAATGCGATGACACTCTGGCTCAGACACCAGAATTTTTTGACGATTTTTAGCATTCGTTTAGGATTTTCAAACAACCCGGTCTCTTTTAAAGGTTTTCCAGATGTAGTGACGACAACATTAAAGTTTAAAGAAGAAAATTCTAACATTTAAACCGACTAAACAATAACATAGTAAACTTGCATAATTAAACAGCAACTAAAAATTATAGGTTTTACTAAATCTTTTCCTGTGCAATTATTACTAGCATTGGAGACAAGGATAATAGTTTGTTTGAAAGAGAAAAGAACAGGCTTTGAAGTAAGCCTAAAAGCGGTTAACTAGAAATAGTATTTCGAAAGTTATTAAGCACAAAAGATGAATTGCGTTTTTTTTTATACACCCTGTATTTCAACAGATCGTGTTCTGCAACCATGCAGCAATCGAGACAAATTGCAAACGACCTACCAATATTCTCTGATTTTGCGATTTAAAGCATCGCGTAATATAATTTACTGTTTACTACCGAAGCCGTATTTCAACGGGTTATGTATTAATGATATGCAAAGTTAGTAAGGAAGCAGAATAATCATGTCCGTGATTTCTGGCCATGACATTCGAAAACATGCAGTACCTCTGCATGATCTAAGCATACTTAACTCAGCAGTCTAAAGTTTCATGTTGTCTGCACATGTACTTTCTTGGAGACACCGGTCGCCTCCTGACAAATCGGAAAATGATCAAGATAGTGACTCTGCATGACTGATTGATTTACATATTGTATTGACACACTGTATGAGACTGTTGACATTGCCTTTTAGTCTCCATTATTTGAGTGAGTCATGCTTTGGAAATAATAATAATTTTCATTACCTAACCCTTGTAATTGATTTGTTTTGTTTTCATTTACCCAACTTTATACTCACTGAAAATTTTGTTTACCCATTCCTTTTCTCTTTGGTGCCACCATCATTATAAATATTCACCGCTCCCTTAATAAACGTAATAAGAATCAAAATAAACCAGTACAGAAAATGGAAACCTACCATGTTCTAAGAACACTTTCAACATATCTGCATGTCCACCAGAGGCTGCCATGTATAGTGGCGACTTTCCAGTGATATCCTCTCGGTCCAACTTCGCCCCATGCTGTAGCAGTTCTGTTGCGATCTCAACGTGGTTAAATTTTGCAGCCAAATGCAAAGGGGCTCGACCATTTTCCCGCTCAACGTGGTCCACCAAGTCCACAACAAAATCATGCTCTAACAATCGTCGTAAAATATCTGGTGAAGAATAACATGAAGTAAGAAATATATACAGTAAGGCATATTTGGAAGTCCATCAACGGGGTGGGGGGGGGGGGGGGGGGGGGAGGAGCAAGGTGCGATAATTCACGTACTGACGTAGGTACGCCAATATTACCGTCTGCTACTTCTTCTTCTCAGATATCCGCGTACTTACTTTTTGCTGGTACGATATACCCTGTATGACCTTTTCAAGCCCAATGTGTTCAAAACCGTAATTTATTAAGTCGGTATATATGTAATACGACCAGGTAGTTCAGACACAAACCACGACAGCTTATTGTAGAATACGACCCACACTGGACCACCACGTTTGAGATATCTTTTTGGCAGGTAGTTCAGACATAAACCACGACAGCTTAAATGCTTCATGTGTAATCAAGGCTTGAATTTTATCGCGGCAATTGCCGTACAGGGAGAACAAAATGCCGTGGATTATTGCGGCAACGACGGCAATTTTTGCCGTATAGTGTAATTTTTATACTATTCACTGTGCATTAGTATTTTGATACTTGAATTCAGATGTTGGTCAAATTATGCGTAAATTACTATTTTAGTCTTCTAAAAAAAACACTTAGAGAAATACATAAACATGTTTCAAGCTTGTCAACAATCCAAAGTAACAAACTTAAATTTTTAGTTAATTTGAAAAAATGCCGTGGAAACTGCCAAAATTTGCCGTAGACAGCTTTTACGTTCTACGGCAATTTTTAACGTCATTGCCGTCGATTGATTTCAGGGAAATTCGAGGCCTGTGTGTAATACAACCTACACTGGACCACCACGTTTCAGTTATCTTTTTTACGTAGTTCAGACACAAAACATGGCAGCTTATTGTATAATACTACCTACAGTACACTGGACCACGACGTTTGAGATATCTTGTTCAGATAGTCCAGACGCAAACATAGCAGCGTATTGTAGAATACTGCCTACGCTGAACCTCCATGTTATAAGCTGCCAAGATAAACTAGAGAAAAACTAAAATCCCAGACTGTTTAGGTGTAACCTAAGATAGCTCCATACCTATATCTCCCATTTTCGTAGCCACATGAAGCACACTCTCTCCATTACCAGCGATAACGCATTCTGTATTCCTGACATGATTTAGTAAGCACACCAGAGCTTTATGACTCCGTGATTCCAGAGCATAGAATATGCAAGGTTGTCCTCGCTCATCATTCTTCGCTAATATTCTTTGAACTATAAACATATTTTAGACTTCAGGGTACGTTAGCGGGTGTCGATTAATACAGGGGGGAGCTTAATAAAGAGGGGAGCTTAATTGAGAGGGAGCTTAATAGAGAGTGGAGCTTAATAGAGAGGGGAGCTTAATGGAGAGGGGAGCTTAATGGAGAGGGGAGCTTAATAAAGAGTGGAGCTTAATAGAGTGGAGCTTAATAGAGAGTGGAGCTTAATAGAGAGTGGAGCTTAATAGAGAGTGGAGCTTAATAGAGAGTGGAGCTTAATAGAGAGTGGAGCTTAATGGAGAGGGGAGCATAATGGAGAGGGGAGCTTAATAGAGAGTGGAGCTTAATAGAGAGTGGAGCTTAATAGAGAGTGGAGCTTAATAGAGAGTGGAGCTTAATAGAGAGTAGAGCTTAATGGAGAGGGGAACTTAATGGAGAGGGGAGCTTAATGGAGAGGGGAGCTTAATGGAGAGGGGAGCTTAATAGAGAGTGGAGCTTAATAGAGAGTGGAGCTTAATAGAGAGTGGAGCTTAATAGAGAGTGGAGTTTAATAGAGAGTGGAGCTTAATAGAGAGTGGAGCTTAATAGAGAGTGGAGCTTAATAGAGAGTGGAGCTTAATAGAGAGTGGAGCTTAATAGAGAATGGAGCTTAATAGAGAGTGGAGCTTAATAGAGAGTGGAGCTTAATAGAGAGTGGAGTTTAATAGAGAGTGGAGCTTAATAGAGAGGGGAGCTTAATTAAGAGTGGAGCTTAATAGAGGGAAGCTTAATAGAGAGTGGAGCTTAATAGAGAGTGGAGCTTAATAGAGAGTGGAGCTTAATAGAGAGTGGAGCTTAATAGAGAGGGGAGCATAATAGAGAGTGGAGCATAATAGAGAGTGGAGCTTAATAGAGAGTGGAGCTTAATAGAGAGTGGAGCTTAATAGAGAGGGGAGCTTAATAGAGAGTGGAGCTTAATAGGGAGTGGAGTTTAATAGAGAGTGGAGTTTAATAGAAAGTGGAGTTTAATAGAGAGGGGAGCTTAATTAAAAGTGGAGTGTAATAGAGAGGGAAGCTTAATAGAGAGGGGAGCTTAATAGAGCGTGGAGCTTAATAGAGAGTGGAGCTTAATAGAGAGTGGAGCTTAATAGAGAGTGGAGCTTAATAGAGAGGGAAGCTTAATTAAGAGGGGAGCTTAATAGAGAGTGGAGTGTAATAGAGAGGGGAGTTTAATAGAGAGGGAGCTTAACCCTTTAAGGACAGAGCACCTTGATGTGCCCAAGTATATCTTCTACTCTGTCTAATGCCAGGGCTTAATAGAGAGAGGATTTAATATAAGGAGAGCTTAATAGAGAGGGGGGCTTAATTAATAGATAAGGGAGCTTAATAAAGAGGGGGGCTTAATAGAGAGGGGGCTCAGTAGAGAGGAGGGACAGACAAACACCGGGCCTTACAATATATTTTACAGGGCCGTCTGACAAAATGTCCAATGACTTTGAGTTTGGGTCGGACATATGTATGATGATGTCCGATGACCATCAGTTTAGTTTAGCTCGGAAATAAGTCTGAATGACACAAATATCAGCATAATGTATTAATTCTTAACAGTAAATGTTGTGAAGATATTAAATAATTTGTGTTATTCATACTTATTTCCAAGCCAAAATTAACTTGCATGCCAATAACAACAGTAAGATGTCGACACTTAAGTTTGTTTTCCACTTCACCATTTCGCTCACCGCCGGCAACATTTTGATTTATGTTGGACAAAGCAACAGTTCGGTCGGACACCACTACACTCAGGTCGGACAAACAATAAACCTCAGTTTCACTTAGGTCGGACAGAATGTCCGGTGGTTTCCTGTGTACGTCAGACAATTTCACGAATGGGTCGAGCAGACAATGTCTGTGACCAACCGATATTTTAAGGCCTGGGCAAACGCACCATAAAACCAACACAAACTGACGTGAAAACATATCTCCTGGGGGAGTTAACTTACCATCGTCCATATTCGTTTCTGAACTGAGAATTCTAATAATTTCGGGTTCATTATCATAAATGGCGGCTAGCTTGATTTGGTCGCTGAGGCTACCTTGAACTCCATACTTGCTATCTAAGCCAGAATCCGCTACATCTGTTGAATCCTTTTCATCGATGGATTTAAGGCGATGTAGCATCAGGCGTTTGCCATTCACACCATCGGTTTCATCGGTTAAACCATAATCAAGGCTTTTCTGCCGTCTTGGGAAGTACATGTACTTGCGTTTCCTTGTATTGCTTGACATTCTGAAAAACAGAGTATGTATATACCATCCTAAGAGATATGAGGAACTATCAGGATTTGGGGCAATTACTCACTCAATATAACTAATTGTTGAAGGTAGGGGTGCACCAGAACTTGGTTCTGGCCAGTTAGTTCCATTTGGAACACCGATTTTTCAGAGTTCCAGCTCTGGCCGGAACTAATAAAGAAAGCCTGCCCTTACAAAAATTGTATGCATGCTTCATGCATGCTTCATGCATGAAGCATACATGCAGAACAGTATTTGCATGAACAGTAATTGCATGCAGGCAAGCATGTAGCATACATGCATAAATCAGGCTGGAACCGGAACTCTGTCGTTTTCAGAGAGATAGAATATCAAATGTTTTTGTGTTTAATTTAACAAAAGTTCACAGTAGCAAGAAATTTGGACTACACAAAAAAAATGTACACTATTAGCACTACATTTGTCGATCTTTTTATTCTAACATTTGCCTGTCTGGCAGCAGACAAAGTAACATATGACTATATATAGCTTAATAAATCAGTTCCAGTTCTGGCCGGAACTTTTTCTAGTTCCGACCGGAACTTAAAAAATTGGTTCCTTGACCCCCCACCAATCCTCAAGATGGCATTTTATTAATTAAACACTGAATTCAGAAAGATTAAAAATATAAAAATATACTTTTGTATTTTCATGTGTTGAAAAATTGCCTGTGTATTTACAAGAACAAGAAATATACATCAATAATTTGAACTAAAATTTGTATGTGCATGAAAAGCATATACGTTTGATTAGGTGGTTTAATGAAAAGTGCTAATATAACAAAATGCCACAAAGGTTAAGTCATTTTCACTATTGCTTTGTCCAAAGCAGTTATCTGACCTTTAATGGAGCTTTAACCTTATAACTAAAATTTTGATCTAGACAAGTCTAGACAAAAATTTCATCACAGCTTGAAAGAGCATCACAAAATTAGTAATATTTCGAAGTTTCGTTGCAAGATGTTGTAAAATGCGGATAATATAGCCCTGAGAAGTTTGCAATTTTCAGTCATTTTAGATTACAAACAGGAAATTAGGGTGTTTGGGGATCAATTTCTTGTTTGTAATCTAAAATGACTGAAAATTGCAAACTTTGCAGGGCTATATTATCCGCATTTTACAACATTTTGTAACAAAACTTCGGAATATTACTAATTTTGTGATGCTCTTTCAAGCTGTGATGAAATTTTTGTCTAGATCAAAATTTTAGTTATAAGGTTAAAGGTCCATTGTAGCATTTTTTTGTGATTTTTTTGACTCTCAACATTTTACCCTCATAGTTAACCCATTGAGCCGCAATGCGCCCCTATGCATGCGCCCTATTTATTTTTTTTACTCGTCTAACGCCAAACGATTTTACTCGTCAATGGGGGAAGCTCTGCAGCTTAATGGGTTAATGAGTATTTTAAATTCATTTAAAAGCATAGCAAACCAGAATGTTGGATATTAACTAAGTGCATCATATTTTATGAATATAGTGTCTTCAAAATGTAAACAAACTGCATATCTGCTGAACAGACTCGACTGCCTCTTCACATACATGTGAAAGGGTAAAATTAGCTGAGCCTGGGGAATATATATGTAAGCAAACTAGCCTGGGTCCATACTAACTTTTGCCACAGATTGCAGATTGTTTGGTGGTGCAATTAATTGGCAAATTTGAGGATAAAAAATAGCCATATTTGCGAAGATTGAAGAGCTAGCCAATATATTAAATATTTTGCGTAAAGCCAGCCATTACAACATACCTTAACGTATTAAATACGAACCAAGTTGAAGTCTTGCTAATTGATACTAGAAAAATATTAACATACTCAATATTGTGAACAATATACGTTGAATATATTTGAAGATCTTGTACAACGGTATGTCACCTAATTATTCATTTGATAACATAAACATGATACTCAACTCTAAAACGAACCAATGTGTCTCAATGTAAGATGAACACCCTCTGTTGAGCACCATTTGTGGGACCAAATACGATGGGGTCAAGTCTACAAGGAAAGACAGCTCTCAGAATAACTGACTTGACATAAATTTGAAGACACCACTACGACATTTGTCGACATAATAATTAAAGGAACCGCTTACGAAAACCGACATATAAGTTGAAAATAATGTCACTTACCAACCAAAGTTCTACCATAATATCAATAGTTGAGTACCCAAGTATCATTATAAAGAATAAAGAGTTAACTATACAAACATGCAAGTATTATAAACATGCTGGGGTCTGGGGAAATAATATATATGTAAAATACGTAAATTAGATCGCGACCATGCGATTCACACCATATTAATTATATTATTAAGCAAAATACCTCGAATCTGTTTTAACCATCAAAGCCCGTATTTGAATTTCTTGAAAGTTACTAGTTTCTGAAATATAGGACATATATCTGAACATCTGAATGATAAAAATATTTGCCAGTAAAAAGTGTGTAGATTTGCATGCAATACGAAGCCAACGAACCATGCAATTAAAACGAGTGGACTCTTCCGGTTTTGATCAGATTAATGTTTACATTACCATAACAATGTACCAGCCCACATTTTATCTCGCATGTTATGGCACAACCTCGCAAGTAGCCTACCTCGCAAGCGGCTTGCGAGGTTGGTTATGGCATTCATTCACAAGAAAAAATCCCCATAAAAAATAATCTATTTTGAAAATAAACATGTTAATTAGTTGTTTTGCAACCATTCCTCCAACTCGAAGTATTGTTGAAAATAAAAGTTTCCAAAAACACGACAAAGAGGGTATAAATATAATACTATAAATATTGAATATTTCTGCATGACCTCTACATCCTGTGCGCTGTTTCACAATAGCATTCTACAGGCCAATAGCATCCGCTATCCTGCCTGGTCATAGGAAGCTCTATTTCTATTTTGTGATAGGAAGGCCAAAATTCAAAAATACAGTATTCTGTAAAACAATGCATTCTACGCACATTTTGCGCTGCTGTGGTCTAGGTTTATTTTCAGCTATCTCATCCGGCTTTTAAAACTTGAAAAATGTTTCAGAAAAATTAAACATCCTTTCAATTATTAAGTCAATCATCCACTTGTGAGCATAGATTTCAACTCTTTACCTTTCGCCGAACAGGAAATTCTCAGAATGCGGGAAAAGTAATCAGAAGCAGAGCGGAACTCGAACTTAAAAAGTTTCCTGGAGAGCATGGCCCAGCTAGACTCTTCCCCTACGGTAGATAGAAGGCGCGCATCTCTGGTGAAACCAGCGAAATGATTTAGAAACCAGTCTATGAAAATCCGTCTGAATTGGTGAATTTGTGGGCGGATTTCTGTCTGAAATTTTATGTAGGTTTAACTATGTTTAATTTTATATGTTTATCTCGATAATTCTCTTCTTTGGCAACGCTTTATCCAATTATCCGTCTCATTTGTCAGGGTTTCTCGTATCTAATTCGGCTATTTCAGAGATTATCAAAAGTATGAATCTAAAAACAGTGAGATGAAACGCCGAGAAGTGTGTCAGAAAAACCAGGCCGAGTATTTTTAACACACTTCGAGATGTTTTGAATAAAAAAACCATTGCATCATGATCTAACTTTTCAAACAAACCAATATTTAAGCAAAAAAATCAAAGACAAAGTTTCGAAGTTCGATAGCTAGCTCGAAACGTAGAAAACTCGACTTCCGCTCCACTGAATTCGTTTTTCTTTGACTTTGGGAAAAACAGGTATTTCGCCTTCTGTTTTGCCTGTGGTTGTCCAGCAATAAAATTGCATAAATCGTGTATGTTCTCGCCGACTTGGAGGTTTTGTTTGTGTTTCGTATGCATCCAGGCGAATTTCCATTTCATTTTGAGTCTTTGGAACGAGGAAACATTTCAAAACATAGAATTAATAAAAAAAACACACACGAAATGTAAAAAAAAGACAAACTAAGCGGGTCCGGGTTGAAGGTTACAAATACCAACTGTTCAGTAACCAATCAAAACGCTTCATTTTCGCGATGGACCACCTGGCCAATAAAATTGATTGTTGTTTTAATTGTGTACCATAATTATCTTTACAATTAATCTAATTAAACAGTAATTACTTCAATCAGTGACATTAAAAGATGGACGCTGATTTTTCCAGTGGATTTTTCTCATGTAAACACGTAGCCCTTCGATCACGACAGGACTTCTTGTAGATCGAGGGGCAAATCACTCCAAAAGTCTCGTAAAAGCTCAAAGTCTTTAATTAAAAGTCCCAAAATCCACAAATATATGCTTGACAATGCTAAAAACTCATCAAATAGATTCTTGAGATCTAAAATTTACGTCTGAAATTCAGATATAATCTAGTAGCAGTGGCGGAAATCACTTTTTTCGGTGGGGGGCAAAGCCTCCTAAATTTCCGACATTTTAGCCCTCTTTTAGATCAAAATTTCCGAAAATTCGTCAATTTTCCGGAAGGTGGGGGGAGGGGGGAGGGGGCGGGCGACCGCCCAAGATTTCCGCCACTGTCTAGTGGAACCAGCTAGCACTCTGCTGTATCAATCTACTTGCAATTATTTTATCCCACCGACCTGGACGAAAATTTCTAACCAAAAAAATTATTATCTCGTGCATTTTACTCCATTGCTTCATCAGAACATTGAAAACAATAAAAACACATTGTTTTATTGCGAATCTCGTAACTCAATGAATGTTGTCAAGGCGGTGGCACTATGTTGTCAAGGCCATTTTTTAATGTTGTCAGGGCACAAAAAATGCGGATTTGAGACTATGAAAATTAAGAGGAGATTTTTTTGTATGTTACGTAACACGCGCTCAAAACTAATGCGTATAATATACCACTTGAGGTTATGACTAAATACAAAATTTTTATTTTTCGATACGTTTCTCAATCGGCAAACAAACTTAAAAAGTATGTTTAGTGCTTTATCTGTAAAATAAGGCTAAAATGAAGAGATTTTAGATGGTACGCCAAAGAGAAAATGATGTCTGAAGTTCAGTGAGTTTTGCTTATATGGCTGTAAATATGTCGTCAATTTTAAAGCATCATTGATAATTGTATTTTAGTTGACAATTTTTAACTATTATTTTATGTTTCTCAACCGGAAGATGCATTTAAAAGGGTTGCTAACTCTATAAACTAGAGAATAAAGCTAGAACAAAGTAATTTTGAGAGGAACGCCAAAAAGATTTTAGGTTTTGAACACTTTTCATTGCAAATAGGTGACATTGAAAAAAATTGCCTCTTAAATAACAACCTAAAGTATCATTTCGAAGCAAAAAAGAAGATTTGAGAACATTGAAACGGAAGATGTTATTTTCTAGGTGATTTTAAAAAATACGGCAAAATTACTGAAAAAAGTCCAACCACAAAATGACCGCACTTTTGGAAAGTACAAAAGTACAATTTCTATGAGTGATTTGCACCTCTATGTGAACACCCCTAAAGTTAAATTAATAAACAGAATAACGCCTTATTCACTCGCCAAGACAAAGTTCTCTTGCAATTGCAGCCAGCTGTACGCGCAGTGCACGATAACTCCCAGCCCAGAATGCCAACTCAGGCGATTTGACCATCATCTCTAATTCCCAACGATCAATCTTATCTCCCACGCCAACAGACAGCACTTTCACTCCCCTGACTAACAATGGGGCCACGGCTTCGTCCAATCGGATTGCATCGGCTGCCGGCGACTGCCGACCATCAGTGATCACCATGGCAACCTTTGGGACTGACGTAGACCATCGCATTCCACCATTCCCAGTAAACATTTCGGCAGAAGCCAACTTCAAAGCTAGGTCGATTCGGGTTCTGCCTCGAAGATGTGGTAAAGCGTCAAGTTCGGTACCCAAATCTTCCTTGGAGTGAATCTTATTAAATTTCGCCATAATTCTCGCCTCGTTGCTGTAGATCATGAGTCCGACATGGGTTTTTTCACGCGAAATCGTGAAGGTTTCTGCAATCGCTTCTACGAAATTCCTGGCTTCTAAAAACTCATCTTTCATTATGCTTCCGGACGAATCCAAGATAAAGGCGATGTCTATAGCCTTATCACATTTAGTAGGCCCTACAAAAGAAAATAGATCTTTCTATAAAGTAATTCTATAACTTTTATCAGGCAAACAATTTTTTATCAATTTTGTATTATAGACATTTGCAGGGACCAGTCATTATTCATGGCGAGGAGTGGCACTGAAGAGAAAAGCGTTGGGTAAACAAAATTTTGAGCGAGTTAAAGGTTGGGTAAATTAATGAAAAACAAAACAACTCAAGGGTTGGGTAATAAAAATTTATTGTCATTTCCAAAACATGACCCACTCAAAATATTGAAGATTAAGACTAAAAAGCAATGTCAACAGTCATAAGTCAATATTACAATATATGTAAATCAATCAGAGTCACTATTTTGATCATTTTCCGATTTGTCAAGATGCAAATGGTGTCTCCAAAAAAGTACATCTTCAGACAACATGAGACTTTACACTGCAGATAATTGCACAAGCAGTTATCAAATTCATGTCCCAGGTGTGGTAAAGGACATGTGTGACTAAATGGTATCCTTTTGTAAAGTTTTTGGCCAGGGGTAGGTACTTATTTTTTAATTGGTAGTTGAGGTTGGGTAAAAAAATTAACCTATAGGCGTAGCTTTTAACCCTGCGCTTGTTTTAGCAGCAGTTTGCGCACAAATTGAGGGCCCCCTATACCTCTTCACAATATGCTTTCACGTAAAAATATTTTGCCTTTTCACGAGTCACGAATTAAGAAAATCATCGATCACGTTTCACGCCTAAGTAAAATAAGCCCTTCACGCTTCACACAAAACGTATAGGGGGCCCAATCACGTTTCACGGCTAAGTAAAATAAGCCCTTCACGCTTCACGCAAAAAGTATAGGGGGCCCTCCAAATTGGTTGTTCCAGTCGTTCGCTACTTACTTATTTACAATATTGTAATGAGGCTACACATAAGATCACATACATACCGATGTTCATACAAATGCTGTCAGACAAAGCTGGCGTCTCGTCCTTCAAATCATCGACAGAACTAGGTCGATATAGATCGGCTGACGATGCGACAAGGGGTAACAACGCATTTCGAGTAAGAGCCGAGCCGATTCCGACAACCTTAACGACCACAGCCCGATCTCGTAAACGCTTTGCAAGCTGATTGAGGTACGCACTATTTGAAAAGCCGCTCTCGCCACCAGCCGTTACCATGACGATCACCTTCGGAGCGTTCCGTCGTGCGCCGTTACCAAAGTCAAAAAGGGCATTTTCCGCTATTTCCAGTGCCCTGTAACTTGCTCTCTGGCCACCGATACGCCATACGCTATCGACCGCTTTTACGAACTCTATAGAATTTTGAGCCCCGTTCAATCTAACCAATAGTTCAGCCCTGCTTCCGTGAACAATTACGCCATGTCTGCTGCCAAATTCCGCTATTCTGAAACGTTTTTCCACGGCAATGAGAAAGTCTTTCATTTTTTGAAAATCTTGGTGACTTACGTCTGTCGAGGTGTCCACAACGAAGGCGATGTCTGCCGCATGCTTGCACGGTGTGATGGCTGAAATAATGAAATAGAAAATATTAAAAAAAAATACAAGAGACGGATTCAACTACCTGAGATTTAAAACTCGAACATTTTGAGTGAAGGACTCTTCCTTTGATTCCCTCACACAATCAGCGGCTTTCCGGTGTTAAAAGCCTTTCCGAAGTTGATGAGTGGACTGGGGACGAGTTTTAAAAAATGCCCAAATTAAGAAATGAACCAAATCACTAAAAAGACCACCTCAAAATTAGTAAGTATACAAAGTTTGAAGACGTTCACACGAATATCCTTCGAATAACAAGCTTTCGAAAATCGTGATATTTACTATGAAATGTATTGTAATTTTTGTTTTTGGGACGCGCGTCCCAAAAACAATCCTTTAATCAGTAATTGCACAATTTTCGAATGCTTATTATTCGAAGAGTATTCATGTAAACGTCTTCAAACTTTGTATACTTACTAATTCTGAGGTGGTCTTTTTAGTTATTTGGTTCATTTCTTCTTTAATTTGGGCATTTTTTAACACTCGTCCCCCACTCCCCAATCCTCTCATCAACTTCGGAATAGCTAATTGTCACCACCATAGGTCACCACATATTGAGGCCCCCTTTTATATTGTAGTTCAAACCGATATCAGCAAAGCTGAGATATCGTTTTGTGGTGCAAGCCTTTGCCCTGCCTCTGGGTGCCCTTAACAAATTCTGTCGATTGTGAACAAGTCTGAACTGTTCTATCTGAAGGTGCAGTAATTGAGTGCCATTCTGTGGGATTCGTCGTCCCATCTCATCTACTGCATCTCATGCAGTTGATGTGGCATGCTTTGTATTGGAGAAACTGGAAGATCTTTGAGGACAAGGCTTGGTGAGCATCGGCGTGCAGTCATTGGCAATGATGCTAACCAGACATTTTAATACTGGCAATCACAGGTTTCAGTTATGAAAATTCGAGCCCTCTGTCCCATTTCTGGAAGCAACGATAGCCGCAAAAGACATGAAATGCGCCTCATTTCCAAACTCCTTACATTTTTCGAGTAGTTGGATCCCTACCAACGAAAGCTTGTTATTACCGTAAGTGATATCCCCTTTTGATCTAGTGTCGCTACTTAACGAAACCGACTTTATGGATCTATCACTTAAACACTAACCTACACACATAACGCACGGTAACAACCCTGCAGCTAGGCTCAGATTCCAGCCGTAGGGGTGAGTGCCGAGAACCCAACGGTTGGAATCTGAGCCTACCATGCAGCAGACTTGTAGCAATGCTGTTGCAACAACTTGTCAACAGGATGTGTTCGCACTGCTTGTTCCCAGCTTGTTAGCAAGTTGTCAACGGTTTGTTGACAACTTGCTACAAAGTTGTTGAGCTCAACAGACTTGTTACAAGTTGCTCCAACAACTTGTTATCGTCCTGCAATTCAACAATTTGTCAACAAGTTGTGACTGACAACCTTGTAGCAACTTGATAAAATCAGCGTTGTTGCAACGTGTTGACAAGCTTGCTACAAGCCTGTTGCGAACACATCTTGTTGACAGTATTTTTTCATGTAGTTCAGACACATAAACAACGGCAGCTTAATATCTTACTTATCTCTTCGCAAGTTTGCTGCGTAATATTCTGAATATTCTTTATCAGTTGGTCAAAATTTTCTGCCGTGATAACATCCTCATCGTACTCAACCATCGCCCGGAGTTCCTTTTTATCCACTGCTGCTCCTATACCAATGGACAAAGTCTTCACACCACTGTCGAGCAGAGGTCGCGCTGCTTGCCTTAGTGAAACCTGGAAGACATTAAAAAAATATTTAGTGATTGATGCAATCTCGTTCCCCGAGCCTGTGATCCTCGGGAAGGAACGCGAGGCCCTGTGGCGAGGCTCTGGGATAATCCGTTTCAGGGAGGATTCTGATTGGCCGTTGAAATAGAATGCGTAGTTCAATTATAGTTCAATCTTAGCCAGGATTCCTGGTTTCCGGCAACGGAATATCCCAGAGCCTCACGTTCCTTCCAGAGGATCGCAGGCTCGGGGAACGAGATTGTGATTGATGCTGCATACGCTAGTTGTACAGGGCAGACATATTTTCGGGGGGGGGGGATTATGGTTGTAGGGGGCGGTCCCACCCAGAGAGTTTTCCTACGAGACCTAAAGAATTCTGCATATATTCGAAATATTACCCGAAGTGATGATATTTCCCGATGTCATCACTGGGGTAATATCATCACTGGGGTAATATTTCGCCGAATACCCCGAGCGGAGGGTGTATAGATAATGTGTTATAACAAAAATTAAAAGGCTCGAAACAAAAATTAAAAACTCAAGTTGATAATTTTAAAACGTGAATACGATGTTTTATTTTTTGGATTAACGCAAGTATCGTCGCATTTCTTTCGAATCACATATCGTTTGGAATACTGATGACAACATTTTTCAAAATTTTTTTAAGTTTAAAAATTCAAAGTGTCCAATTAGAGAGAGAACACAGGAGATTTAATAATAGTGTACCCAAATCAAATCATCTATTCAGAAACACATTTACCTGAACGCCATTTACTGAGGTCTGTCTTCCGTCAGTCAAAATAAACGCAAGTTTCTTGACTCCAGGACGCGCTCCACCATAGACAGGCGAGAACAGTTGTGTATGCGCGACTTGGAGACCTAAAATCAATAGTCAGCTTACAACATTTGTTTCCATAAAAAATTCTTAATTTGCACCCGAAGATATAATTGACAATCTTGGACATGACCGGTTGAGACTATACCTTTCCCTCTAGGCAAAATTAGCATACCCCACGTGATAAATTCCATGTTAAATCATGTTGTGTTTCTTATTGTCGATTTCATATTACTTTTCAAAGCGCGGTTTCCAAGTTTGTTGTCAACTTGCCAATTACGTTTCCAAATGAACTTGTTTGAAATGAACTTGCAAACTTCGTTGCGAAGTTCACGCCCAACTTCCAAACTTGACAACGTAATTGGCAAGTTCGCAACGAACTTGGGAACAGCGTGTTGAAAGTTACCTGAAATCGGCAATAAGCCCTCGATCTCCAAACTCAATGTTGAGCTTGTGTTATGGTAAATAGATGATTCTAGCTGTCGACTAATTTTTTATCTAGACAAGAAAGACGAAATATAACATTATAGCTCAAAAGAGCATCCTAAAATTAGTTAAATTACAAAGTTTCGTTGCGAAATGTTGTAAAATACGGAAAATAATAGCCCTGTGAAATTAGCAAATTTTGAGTATTTTATAGTATTACGCGCGGTAAAAATAACCACTTTCTGCTCAAAAATGGTTATTTTTACCGCGCGTAATACCGAAATATTTGCTAATATCACAGGGCTATATTTTCTGTAGATTACAACATTTCGCAACCAAACTTTGCAATTTTACTAATTTTAGGATAATTATAATGATATATTTCGTCTTTCTTGTCTAGATAAAAAATTAGTCGATAGCTGGAATTATGTATTATCAAAAGTTGTTTCGGCGTTGTTTATAGATTGAACTGGGAGAGAAGGAGTGACGAAACGTGTTTTATCAACGTGCATAATTAGCTTTGCAATATTGGCTGGAATGGTCTCAATAGTCATGTTCAAGATTGGCCGCACTGTTATCTAGCACATACCTAAATCAATTCGTGTGAATGACCTCATATGTTTCAAACTATATACGACACTCCTGAAACCTTTTATATTCGTATGGTCACTAAATTTCGCCACCAGTTCGGCGGTTTTGCTGTAAATCACGATCCCCGCGCGTGCGCCATTCTCGGAGATGTTGACTGCTTTCGCGATGGAGAACATGAAGTACTTCATTTTGCTGTAGTCTGGGTTGGATATACTACCAGAGGAATCCACAATAAAAGCGATGTCAACTTTACCCGGACAACCCAGTGTACCTGTAAGAGAGGGTTGGAAATGTTAAAATGTTTGTTACAGATTCGAACTTCTCTGATACTGGGACATAGCAAAGTGTCCGTGTTAGAGAGGCGTCTGTATTAAAGAGGTGTCTGTATTAGAGAGATGTCTGTATTAGAGTGATGTCTGTATTAGAAAGATGTCTATATTAGAGAGACATCTGTATTAAAGAGGTGTCTGTATTAGAGAGATGCCTGTATTAAAGAGGTGTCTGTATTAGAGAGATGTCCATATTAGAAAGATGTCCGTATTAGAAAGGTATCCGTATAAGAGAGGTGTCTGTATAAAAGCATCTGTATTAGAGAGGTGTCCTAATTACAACATTAATATTCCAAAGCAGCAAAGTGTCCGTGTTAGAGAGGCGTCTGTATTTAAGAGGTGTCTGTATTAGAGAGATGTCTATATTAGAGTGATGTCTGTATTAGAGATATGTCTGTATTAGAGAGACATCTGTATTAAAGTGGTGTCTGTATTAGAGAGATGCCTGTATTAAAGAGGTGTCTGTATTAGAGAGGTGTCTGTATTAGAGAGATATCTGTATTAGAGAGATATCTGTATTAGAGAGATGTCTGTATTAGAGAGATGCCTGTGTTAAAGAAGTGTCTGTATTAAAGAGGTGTCTGTATTAGAGAGATATCTGTATTAGAGACATCTGTATTAAAGAGGTGTCTGTATTAGAGAGATGCCTGTATTAGAGAGGTGTCCATATTAGAGAGACATTTGTATTAAAGAGGTGTCTGTATTAGAAAGATGTCCGTGTATTAGAAAGATGTCTTTATTAGAGAGGTGTCAGTATTAGAAAAGTGTTCGTATTATAGAGATGTGTCCGTATTAGAGAGGTATCTGTATAAGAGAAGTATCCGTATTAAATAGATGTCCGTATTAGAGAGGTGTCCCTATTAGAGAGGTGTCCGTATTTGAAAGGTTTTCGTATTAGAGAGATGTCTGTGTTAGAGAGGTGACCGTATCAGAGAGGTGTCTGTAGTAGAAAGGTGTCTGTATTAGAGAGATGTCCATATTAGAAAGATGTCCGTATTAGAAAGGTATCCGTATTAGAGAGGTGTCTGTATAAAAGCATCTGTATTAGAGAGGTGTCCTAATTACAACATTAATATTCCAGTATCCCACCCATACATAAAAAAACACAGCTAATCCAGGCACTTACTTGGCACAGGACAGACGTGTCTTGTAATCCTCTCAGAGATCCCGTACAACAGATAGGGATACGACACCATAAATAAATCTCCCTGCGAATCCACTAAAGACCTCAAATATCCCTGATTACTTTGTGTGGGATCAACCGATGCGATCATTAACTCGACACCAGAGTTCCGCAACAACCCAGCTTCGCGTTGAATTGCATCCTTGCGGCCTGAGTCCCAGTACTGAGCACTTCCGGTTATGGCCAAAACGACGTGTGGGACCCATGACCTTGACCCTTTATTTATGGTAAAAAGCTTCTCCCGGGCATACTTTAACGCCAAATCCAAACGCGTTCCCCAAGCGCCGCCGAAATTAAGCCGATCGATTTTTTGGCTCAATCGTTGCGTCGAGGTAGAATAGCGGAAATTTATCACGCTCCTTTCGACAATTTTGTCGCTGTACGGAATAAAGCCGATAAATGGATTCAGGCCGTTGTTCGTCAGCTCAAAATAGCTGATGAAATTTTTGGCGAATAACTTAAGCTGTGCAAAATTTTCCGAGCCGAAATAGGACGAGGTGTCTAAGATGACGGCCACATCAACAGGCTCATAGCAGTTATAATCTGAAATACAAAAAAAAGATGGTTACTAAACAAATTCTACAATGGTTTTGTAGTTGAACATACATGAACTTGTGGTTAGAGCTCGACAACTGTCAACCTGTAGCTCAGTTGGTTAGAGCGCTGCACCAGAATGTCAGGGCCGCAGGTTCAATTCATGCCAGACGGTAGTTGCATTTTTCGTAACTGCTCCTGCATGGTTAGGTCTAATAAATGTATAAAATTCACACTCCAATTTTCCACCTACAAAATCCTTCTGGAAATACTTTTATAAAATAACATGTATATAACGTGTGCTCTGATTGGTCGAAACCTGTGTTTGGATCAGGCCATCCAAACACGGAAATTAAAGTGAAAGTTTTTTAAAGTGAAATTTTAACACGGAAAGTTGTTATTCGCGCGCTTTTCTTAACTCGTCGAGCAACATTGATCAACATTACCAAGTGTTTGGATCAGGCCATCCAAACACGGAAACCATAATTGTATAACATCGAATGCAAATGTCCCAAAACTTGACATTTACTAAACTGACTGTACTGATACTGGATAGCTCTATTGGATCAAACTGTTCAAGGGTTTCTTGACGAGGATAATGGATGATTGCAGCTATAGACTAAATCTAGTTTGATCTAGGCAAGAAGAACAAAATCCATCACCACAGCTGGAAAGAGCATGTTAAAATTGCAAAGTTTGGTTGCGAAATGCTGTAAAATGAGGAAAATATAGCTCTACGAAATTTGCAAATTTTGTATTAATTTGCATTACCCACTTTGTACATGTGGTGCATTTTCCCGCGCGTAATACAAATTAATACAAAATTTGCAAATTTCACAGGACTATATTTTCCTCATTTTACAACATTTCGCAACCAAACTTTGAAATTTTACTAATGTTAACATGCTCTTTCTAGCTGTGGTGATGGATTTTGTTCTTCTTGCCTAGATCAAAATTTAGTCCATATACCTGGAATCATCCATTGCGGCCCGAAAAATTTAGATGTAACAAGGAGCAGTTGTTACGGCTCAATTATCGGTTGTCTCGCAAGAATCGAACCTGCCGCCTTGCGATGCCCAAAATTTTCCCATATACCTAAACAGTTCTAAACTGGAAATCCAGTAAGGTCCCAAGAGGTCCAGTATAAGGGATATATTCTATTGAGCCAGTGTTACTATACAGGAGGAATCCACAACTGAACTAACTTTATTTATACTGGATAGCTTTATCAGTTCTAAACTGTTCTTTCTAGAGGTCCGGTAACGGCCACCCTATATTGATCCAGTGTTATTACAAGAGGAAATCACAACTTATTTATAGTGGATAGCTCCATGGGTTACACCGAAAAGCAAAAGCTTTGATAGGAAAAACTATAAAGGATACTAGCTTGTCTGTAAGGGGTTAAAGGTCTAACATTGCCCAACGTGTTCAGACCTGAACTAACATGTATGTGGTGGCTGGCTGGCTGCGGTTTGTGTCTTAACCACCTGAGAAGATTAAAAACATATCGAAGTTTCCAGCAATGGCCTTCGTCAGAATTATGAATAAACAACCATTGGTAATCTTCTGGTTAAAGGTCTTCGCCGAAAACGTGAAATGTATTTTGATCGGTGAAGCGGAGCTGGACCTCAACGTCCACTTTTTAGCACTACGGTAGTGTGTTGTAGAATACTACATACACTGGACCACCACGTTTGAGATATCTTTTTCAGGTAGTTCAGACACAAACCACGACAGCTTATTGTAGAATACTACCTACACTGGACCACCACGTTTGAGATATCTTTTTCAGGTAGTTCAGACACAAACCACGACAGCTTATTGTAGAATACTACCTACACTGACCCCCACGTTTGAGATATCTTAGTCAGGTAGTTCAGACACAAACCACGACAGCTTATTGTAGAATACTACCTACACTGACCCCCACGTTTGAGATATCTTAGTCAGGTAGTTCAGACACACTTTATAGTGTAGCTCAGACACAAACAACTTATTGCAAAATACTACCTAGACGCTGGACCACCACGTTCGAGATTTTTTTCAGGTAGTTCAGACACAAATCACGGAAGATTATTGTAAACTACCGTCTCTACACTGGCCTCCCACGTTTGGAATAACTAACGTCATTTTAAGATCTACAAACAATTGGAAAACAAGAAAGCCGTACCTCTCTGGGCTGTTACGCCGTCCAGCAAAACTGAAGATAGCAAACACAATGCAACAAAAGTATATTTCATGATTTAGATCAGCGAACAGAACAACTTTGCACCTAAACTCACGAAAACAAGCTTAGTTTGACAATACTATATTCTCGAATGAGCGTTTTAAGTGTTTTTCTTGAGGATTTAATGCGATTGCGTGTATTCGAGTCGCTCGAAATTAGATTATAAGATTAAAATTTACGGCTCAGAAAAGTAAAAACATAAAACAATATTTATTTTAGGCGAAAAACAGCATGGGAAAAACGCCACCATGAATGATACCAAGGAATAATAAAATTTACTACGAAATAGTTTAGACAGAAAGCAACCTAGTTTTAGTAATTTTTGTACTCAGGAATATCTTGCACGATTTTATAAACATTAAATTCGTTCAATATTTTCCTTGTGACGTCATTATTGAAGTACGTTTTCTAAAACGCATTTTGAAAGTATGACCATGAGAAAATTCAGCGTGAAATTTCATGTGATCTATATTTAATTAGTTTTTTTTTCATTTATATTGATATGTAATATTTAATTTATAAGTAATTTTTCATGCAATAAACATGCATGTCTATTCTCAAGGCGCAAATGAAGGGAACATTTCATTGGCGGGGGGTGGCACCGCAAAGAAATGTTTTCTTGGTCAAAATTGTGCTGATCCAAGCATTAAAAAGTAAGAAAAATTTTTTCCCAACCTCAAATATCAATTAAGAAATACCCACCCCTGTCCAAAAAACTTACAAAAGAATACCATTCAGTTGTCGCGCATGTCTTTTATCACTTGAATTTCACTTCTGTGACATGAGTTTGACAACTGCTTGTGCAATTTTCTGCAGTCTAAAATTTCATGTTGTCTGCACATTTCATGTTGAGACACCATTTGCCTCCTGACAAATTGGGAAATGATCAAGATAGTGACTCTGATTGATTTACATATAGGTGTGACATATGACTGTTGACATTGCTTTTTAGCCTTCATTCAATATTTGAATCAGTCATGCTTTGCAAATGACAATAATTTTTTTATTACCCAACCCTTGAGTTGTTTTGTTTTTCATTTACCCAACCTTTTACTCACTTAAAATTTTGTTTACCCAACCCTTTTCTTTTCGGTGCTAACCCCGGCATAAAAATGACCTGTCCCTAAAAATGAAAATAAACATAATTTCCGAAATATGTTAAATGGGGAAAAAACCTGAACCAACTTCCATATTTTATCCAAAAACTAATTGTCTGTTAAATTTTGTCTAAAATCTTGTGAAACGGCCACATCTCCCCGCAAAAAGTATTCTCTGCTATTCCCGTCAACCTCATTAAGGTTATATTTATAATTAACCATCATGCCTAGCGAGCTCAAGGCTCCCTTTCTGCTTACGTCAGCTTTCCAATGCAGTTTCCAGAGAACAGCGCCGTTTCGTAGATGGAAATTTGCTAGAGAAAACAAACAAACAAAGTCACAGTTAATAGAAACAAGTGTGTTGGGTGATCAACTATCAACGCGTAGATATCTCACAGTTTGTCAACTAGATGTGTTCGCACTGCTTGTTCCCAGTTATTGACAAATCCGGAACAAGTTGTTATCACCTTGTAACAAGATTGATGAAGACAACAGACTCGCGTTGGTCCGAAAAGTCTGACCACTCTGACATCGTCTGCACGTAACAAGTTGAAGGCAACAAACTCGTAGCAACTTATTACGAACTTGTAGAAAGTCTGTTAAAGTCATCAACCTTGCAACAAGTCACATCAACTCACAACTTGTTGACAAATTGTTGAAATGCATGACGAGAACAAGTTGTTGGAACAACTTGTAACAACAACTTGTAACAAGTCTGTTGAGCTCAACAACCTTGAAGCAACTTGTCAACAAGCACAAGCCAATGACAACTTGTCAACAAGCTGGGAACAGGCAGTGCGAACACATCCTGTTGACAACGTCTATTGCAGGTTTGTTGGAACTTGTGCGTTTTACGTATGTAATGGGCGTGACAAAAGCACGTTGCCTTACCAACAGGATCGTATGCAAACCCTCTTTTCTTTTCATTGTAAAGATAACTACAGTAAATAGAATAGTACAATGTGAAATTAAAGCGGGAATCAGAACGATCTCGTGGAAGTCATCGAAATATTGATTCAATACATTACCTCGGGCTGACCAATTCATTTGATCAAGTTCCTCGAGATATTCATACACTTCCTGTGAAAGAGCCAATTCCAAGTATTTGATCATTTCTGGTCACTTCCTTTCTATTTATGATTGGTTAGTTGCACAAACAACTAAGGTGATTGGTGCATTCAAACTATTCAACAGGAAGTTTACAATTATATTAGGAAGTGTATGAATATTTCGAGGAACTTGATGAAATGAATTGGTCAGCCGGAGGTAATGTATTGAATCAATATTTGAGCAACACTTCAATTGGAACGACAGTAACAATTAGAAATAAGTAAGCATTTAAGAAGAATTAAGGAAGGCTACAATATACCTAGAACATATTTCCATCATTGGTTTTCTTAGAGCTTCACATAATTCGTTGTTCTTCAACCATAATGGAGTGCTTATGAGTGTCTGGAAAATAAAATAATCTAAGAACGGGTATAATTATTTCATTGAAACATGCTTTGGATTGTTGCCTAAAGAAAATATTGAAAAACACATCAGAAAAGGCTTTGTGAGCACCTTGAAACTCAAGTTATACGGTTCCTTTAAACAATTCTCAAGAATCTTTCGGTCTTCAATGTCAATACTTTCATGATCTGAAAAGATTTTACAACGTACATCTTAAGTAACTTTACTTCATGTAAAATATACAAATACAATTAAATTATATACAAATTCTACAAACTATATACCAATACTATACTGCAATATAACTGTTAACGTGTTCGAAGTTTTTCAAAGTTTAGCCAAGTCTTAACCATGTGCTTTCAATACTAAGAAGTTATTGGCCTTTTTACAAAATTCTCGCGGTAGTCTCTACAGTCCCTAATTTCTACAGGGAAATCATTAAAACGATGTGCTGGCTGGTCCTGTAATGTGTTCTTGAAATTGAAAGCAACTGCTCGATCTAAGAACTCGAAAATGTTCCACTACTTGCAGTTTTAGTTAATTTGTCCAGTTTGCATCATGAAACGCTTTATAACAAATTTTCAGAATGTTCCATTCACATTATTCCTTTACTGGTAACCAGTTTAATGATAAGACGTCTGATAAGTCCGCGATTTCCGATCGTGTTGTACTCGCACAAAGAAAATGATTTCTTCACCATTCAACTGACTTACCCATAATCCTAGCGATGACAGACGATTCAGAATTTTCCATCAACTTATAATCCAACCATTTATAAAAGCCTGGTACTGGAGATAGTGACACAAAGGTCTGAATATTTGGCAGGTCGTGTTTCAATTGGTTAACAGCTTCCTTTATCAACGAGTTGCCCAAATCAATTTCTGCCAAACCTGGAGAATTATTAATTATTAAGAGTCTGAAGTTCAGTAAGTTTTGCTTATATTGCTGTACAATTTTCGCCGACCTTCATCCGTGGAGGCGAAATGCCCTGGGGACGAGGTTGCAGCGATAGGCCCAATAAATGAACATAATTTAATGATAGTTTTTATGATAATTGAGTTACCTTTTTGGGTTGACGACACTGAGTAAAAGACCGCAGTGTTTTTCTTTTCAACATCGTGTTCATCGCTGGGAATTTTTTCTTTTAAAATTCTCTACATAAACAGTTGAAATTTGAGATGAGCCAATTAATCTTGGCATAATGTTAGGGTATACCCCCTAAGGACATGTTTTTGCTATAGGGGCGTTACAGATTAGCTCCTGGTTACCACAAAATTTTGTTTTTCTTATTTCAAAATTTTGCAGCAACCAGGAGCGAATCTGTAATGCCTCTAAAGCCAAAAATATCCTTAGGGTGTACCCTAACATTATGCCAAGTTGTGTGATGTTATCATCAAATGCACACAGACGGTTCACACAAATCACAGCAGATACCTGTATACTTCCGGGGATTTCATCTCTAAGTGCAATATGCAACACACACACGGGTTCTCTAGGCATGCTGGGATGCATAAAGACATAACAACGTCGATATGGTCCAATCCGTTTCTTCATGTCCATCCAGCCACGTACTTCGTGCACCGCCTCGTAGTTTGCTACCTGTGATACAGTTAGAGAAAGAAATAACGTTACATGTCAACCGATCAAAAGTCCCCAACTTTCGCAACAGCGAAGGCGGCAGTCGAGTATACATAGGTAGTATTCACAGCAATAATAGATAAAGGTTTTGTGTCTGAACTACCTGAAAAAATATCTCAAACGTGGTGGTCCAGTGTAGGTAGTATTCTATAATAAAGTCGTGGTTTGTATCTGAACTACCTGAAAAAGATATCTCAAACGTGGTGGTCCAGTGTATGTACTGTAGTGTTCTACAATAAGCTGTCGTGGTTTGTATCTGAACTACCTGAAAAAGAGATCTCAAACGTGGTGGTCCAGTGTAGGTAGTATTCTAGAATAAACTGTCGCGGTTTGTGTCTGAACTACCTGAAAAAAATATCTCAAACGTGGTTGTCCAGTGTAGGTAGCATTCTACAATAAGCTGTCGTGGTTTGTGTGTGAACTACCTGAAGAAGATATCTCAGTCGCAACAGGGCTACATGAACCAATAATAATGATCACTGCTAAAAAAAGCTCCCTTTTGGCCGGGTTAAACGAGGATGAAAGTTGATGAGAGTTGCAACTCTTGCTCGCGTTTGGCCACCACCACTCATCCACCGTCATCAACTTTAAACTGGTTCAAATGTTTAAGAGAGTTTTTTGTCGTTTGACTGGTAATATCCAGTCAACTCTCATGCAACTCTTGTTCTCGTTCGTCCGGGGCATGAGAGTTACAGTAAGAAAACTCTCATTGAAACTCTCGCTTGCCATTTCTCAAAAATTCTCATTCTCATAAGACCAGAGCTTCATTGTACCTTTTCTGTGATATCACAAGGTGACTGCCAAGTCATACGCTCCATATCAAGAAAACCAACTGAGAACCACATGGACAACAGATGTCTGATGTTGTGATTCACTGCGTTTAATTCATCTCTTGCGCAATCCAGATCACGATCTGAGAGAATTTCCTAGAAGACGAAAAGTGAAGTATTGTAGAGAAATAACGTACTGCTTGTTCCCAGTTGTTGGCAAGTCTGGAACAAGTTGTTATCATTTTGTAGGCAAGGTTGATGAGGCCAACAGACTCGCAACAAGTTGTTCCAACATGTCTGGTATCGTCTGCACGTAACAAGTGGTTAACAAGTTCCTGACAACAAGATCTTAGCAACTTGTTAAGAACAGCCTGTATTAGTCTTGTTGGGACAACCTGTCACCGTCATCAACCTTGTAACAAGGTGATAACAACTTGTTCCAGACTTGTCACAACAGGTGGGAATAAGCAGTGCAAACACGTCCTGATATCGGCTTGACAACAACCTTGTTACAATTTGTTTGCAGATCTGAAACAACTTGCGCGTTTTTATATATGTACAATCTACCCGCTATATTAATCACAGTATAACTGTCATCTATACCCCCACCCCCGCCATCCTACTGTAGAGGCAAAAAATTAGGAAGGATTTATTATACATTTACTTACATGATCTTTTGAACTATAGCTTGAAGCACTTATGTAGTCAATTACTAATAATACATCATCTTTTACTGTAAAGAATATTGACTAGTACTGTAATTTTCACTTACCAAAAGATCTTTTCTCAGGTCAACTATAAACTTTACTCCTCCCTCTTGACGACCAATGTAAGATAACAAAACTATGTAAGGTGGTTCCAACGAATGCTGTAGTTTCTCTTCAAGTTTCAATTGTGAGTTTAGTCCACGTTCCTATAAATTAAAAGAGCCATCAGGGGCGAGCCTCATCTTCAAGGAGGGGTGCAGGTTTTCCATGGGGTGGTGCATGAGGGAACCTTACTGCCCACTCTCCTCTGCAGTCTGCAACGCTACTATCCCAACATTACCATTATTTGAGATGGCCGAATTTGCATGTTCACCGTTTTGTTACGTTTAACATTTTAGGCTTTTTACGTTTAACATTGTACACGTTTAACAAGTTTAGGCTTTTTATCACGTATGCATGACTGGACAGTTGCTGTAGCACAGTACAGTAAATTTGCTTGTTAAAGTACAGTATAATTGAAAATATGGCTGTATATTAACAACCTCGACATGTTTACATATTTAACCATGATACTTGACTAAAGCATTCTGAGTACTTGCTCGTGAGTTCACAAATCAATTAAATCGTTTCAAGAAATCGACACGCACTAACAATAGAAGTTCCGGTAATCGCTATTCGAAAAGCAGAAAATGTATGGCTAACAAAGATGCTATCCTGATTTCTCAGAAAATATACGTCGTTTATAGAATAGCAACATTCATTGAAAGATACTATGCCTGCTTTCTTAGAAAACACATGTATATATATGGAATAGAATAGCGTTTTTCTTCGTATTATATAGAATAGCATTTTTCTTAGAAAGATGCTATTCCCGATTTCTCAGAAAATGAACGTCGGTTGTAGAATAGCAATTTTCTTTAAAAGATTCTATGCCTGCTTTCTTAGAAAATACATGTATATGCATGTCGTTTATATACAGAGTAGCATTTTCCTTAGAAAGATGCTAAATTCTTGATTTCTCAGAAAATGTATGTCGGTTATAGAAAAGCAATTTTCTTTGAATGATGCTATGCTATGCCTGATATATGTCGTTTATATGGGATTTTTCTTAGAAATATGCTATTCCTGATTTTTCAAATCAAAATCACATGATATTTATACGACATAAACGTATTAGATATAAACGTATTAGATATAAACGCAAGTTTCACAATCCGCGAGGGAACATACATGTACACTGTAACTACAGTTCACAGTTGAATTCAATTCTATAATTGCTGACAATTTCAATGGCTTCGAAGAAAGTTCTAACAGGTCGTGTGGACGTGACACAGCTCAGTCACAACCTGATGAGAAATGAGTGTGAATGAAAAACGCCAGGAGACAAAAAGACGGTTCGCATGGTCAGAGTCACAGTTTACTACAAAGATTCACAAGGCGAAATCGACAGGGTTTCCATGGAATGCTGCTGCCAACATCAAGACAAAGCTACGGATCATCTGATTGCAAAATACGGACTGACACATTAACATGATCATTTTTGAAAGAAGCTTAGAGATGCTAGAACTAATTAATCGATTTGATTTGAACAGTAAACTACCATTTACTTGTTGAGCTCGGTGCTGTTGTGTTTAATGGCATTGTAAAGCTCATTGATAATTCATGAAAAAAATTTGAAATAAAAAAATGTTTAATGAGTTGTTGTACTAATCCATATATATATGTATGTACACAGAATTGGGATTGCCATTTAACATGCCCCCCCCCCCCTTTATTGGCAAGAGTCTGTATATCCAATGGGGAGGAAGGAGGGTTCGCCTAAAATTTCCCTAGGTGTGTCTGTTACCTTCATCCTCTTTATGTCATCTGCGATACTCGTTATCATATCATGGTTCAGTCCAAAATCTTGTGCAAAAGTTGCGAACACTTTAAGCTTGTCAACCTACAATATGTCATATATTAAACAAAAAGTTAACCGATTGACCACTTGCGTAATAGACTAAATTTTGATCTAGACAAGTCTAGACAGCTTGAAAAAGCATCACAAAATTAGTAATATTCCAAAGTTTCGTTGCGAAATGTTGTAAAATGCGGATAATATAGCCTTGCAAAGTTTGCCGTTTTTCAGTCATTTTGCATTACGCGGGGGAAATTGACAGCCCAATACCCTTTGGGGCTGTTTGTTCCTCTCAAAATTACTTTGTTTTAGCTTTATTTTGTAGCTTACACATGCAGTTATATAGCAACCTTTTTAAATGTATCTGGCGGTTGAGAAACACAAAATAATAGTAAAATATTGTCAATTTAATACCGAATTAATTATCATTGATGCTGTTAAATTGCAGGGTGTTAGCCAGAAAAAAAAGTTTTGTCCTTTAAACGTAAATTGGGAAAGTTTTTTCGACCGATCAAAGTCCTTGTGTAGGAATAAATAATGTTTTTTTCCAACGTGTTTCTCCTTAGACACAAACAACGGTAGCTTGGTTTTGTAACTGAATGAACACTGAAAAATGCAGCCGATGGGGCGATGGCACTTCGTTTTGTATATTTCATTTCCTGTGAGTGAACACGGATGCACACCGATTACACTTTGTTTTGTACATTTCATTTCAGTGAATACACACCCAATGGCCAATATGAATGAAACGCGACACATTTTGAGAAAATAATTATTAAATGGGAAAAAGTAAATAAAAGTTCTTTGATATAATAATATAAAATAAAATAAAACGCAATGCACTTCCTCATCAGAAAAAATTAACACCCTGAATTGACGCCATATTTGTACAGCAATATAAGCAAAACTTACTGAACTTCAGACATCATTCTCTCTTTGGTGTACCATCTAAAATCTCTTCATTTTTGCAGATAAAGCACTAAACATACTTTTTAAGTTTGTTTGCCGCTTGAGAAACATGTGAAAAATTTACAAAATTGAATACAGTCATATTACCGAGTAGAAAGTATATTCATTAGTATTTTCATACAAAAGGTTTGGACTATCTGTCCATGTGTCCAGTTAATGTAGAATTTATGAGCAAATATTTAGGGGGAGAATTTGACAAGTGGAGAGAATATTATCTTTACATGACATCCATTTACCTTTGATTTAATCTTTTGATAATAGGTGCAAAAGTCACTTGCTAAAGTCTAAAAAACATCATAAACAACTTTTTAGTGTAGTTGGACATATTGGCTATAGACCCACCCCCCATCCCCAGAAGTAAAAGTAGAGGGGCTAAGCTTCCCAAAAAAAGATCAGAGTAAGACGTACAGTAATATGATGATTCTTGATTGTTGCCTTAAAAAGGTGAACAAAATCACCAACAGTGTGGTCGATTAAATCCTTAAGTGAAAATTTCAGCTAGGGGGGTTTCGGCACCCATCACAGTTTTCACAGTGGAACTACTGTTAGCTGCCCTAAAAATAGATTAAGAATTATATAAGGCCATGCAAGTAAAAAAAATTAGTAGTTTCTTGTCCAAATTTTGAAAAAAAAAAGGAGAACGCAAGCGCTTTTTTTTTGGTCAAATATTGCTCTTAAAGTTTACCAAACAACCCATAAACACATGCAAATATTGACGTTTACTCATAAAACGTAAATACAGGTATATAATAAAATAGACATTAGTATGCAATATGGCACCAAAATAACAATATATGCATGAACAGCAGCGCGAAGTACCGAACAGCAAGCGAGAGTTGACGAAAAGTTCCGAACGGCAACTGAAGTATATGCCGAAAGGTGCAAAATGCCCGAAATATGTAAGTGGAAATTCTTTGAAAGGCTCGAATATAACTGAAAAGAGAAAAATCCATGTGGCAGGGAAAAAGGATGCGGGTGGAGACGAGAAATTACTAATTTTTTTTACTTGGCCTAAATTGTCTTGGTTAATTAAAAAGCATGTCATATATGAGCTTTTTCCATCTTTTGCCTATCATGTTTGCACTTAGCTGAAAACTACAGTATCCAACTGAGCTGAAAATAAGCCCCCCCCCCTCCCCCCAAAAAAATAAAACCCTTCTGCTGCCACTGAAGTTGGAGACGCTAAAGGAACTACTCACAGATGCTAAAGGAACAGCACCCATGCACCACCAGAGGTTGAGGTAAATGTACAGAACTTTATATAACCTGCTGTGCTTTGTCTGAATTTTTTACAATTAGAAAACTTCATGAAACTAATTTCAAAAACCAAAATAAGCTTTACCAGTGACAGACTCTGGATGGGGAAAGGTGGAAGGTAAAACCATGGATCAAAGCATCAATTGGTAGCTGGCTATATATTGCATGACACCAAAGACAAAAGAACTGAGATTTCCAACAACAAATAGCTCCACCCAAAACTCTTCCCTGCCTACAGTATTTTTGTTGTGAAGTGCCAGTGCCATTCAGCTTTACCTCTGGTAATATGTCTCCATCTCCAATAGATTTTCGTGGCTGTTTTGATCTGATAAGAGTATCTCGTAATTTGTGCACATCAACTGTTTCTTGTCCTGCTTCGATCTCACTTGACTTGTCTTTATTTGATAAGAGACTGGACCATATTGTTGAGGACCATATTTGGGTGGAACTCTACGAGGAAGATACAGTACAATTATTTTAAAATACCTTGTTAGTATTTAACGATATTGAGATTTGCGATATCCTAGTGGCATCCTGATGATACTTGGATATCAGATGTTGAAATTTGGTATCCTAGAGGGTCTTGCATACCTAAACCATTTTCATCTCCACATGTTGACTCATTAAGACAATATTACAAAAGTTCCGACATTGTATGTACATCTAGTTAATGTTTCTGTTAACATCAAACTCTCTCATTAGCAATGGCAAACCTCGTACATTTTATGACTTTTCAAGTCATGGCAACTAAATGATATATGGTACACTGAAAGCATACATTTTTATTTTGAGAATATTAATTGGATACCAGGATTTTCAATTTGGATACAGGTACCAGATTAAGATATGTTGGGATCCAATGGATTCCGGGAAAAAATTCCAATCTCAAACCCTGTGTGACACTAATTTTCACTCAGTCTTAAATTTGGACTATGAAATTAAAGACACAAATCACAACAATGTATTGTAAAACACTACCTACAGAGATTGCATGGACCCTCACGTTTGAGATAGGTATCAATTTCAGGAAGTTCAGACACAAACCACAACAGCTTATTGTAGAAAATTACTACCTACACCGGACCACCACGTTTGAGATATCTTTTTCATGCAGGTAGTTCAGACACAAACCACAACAGCTTATTGTGGAATACTACCTACACTGGATCACCACATTCGAGATATCTTTTTCAGGTACAGTAATTCAGACACTATACCACAACAGCTTATTTTAATATACTGCTCCTGTACACTGGGCCCGCACGTTTGAGATCTATTTTTCTCAGGTAGTTTGGACACAAACCACAGCAGCGTATTGTGGAATACTACCTACAGCACACTATAGACCCCACATTTGAGATATGAAATGCAGCATTAATATACCTACCAAATATCTTAGGTTAACATCACATGGTTTCCTTAAGAGTCCCAAAAAATTAAAATGAGGATACCTAAACAAAAAACATCAATTTTAATTTATTAAATACTGTAGGTCGCAAACAATGCAATATCTAAGACAAATGATCCATCAGATTAAAGTACAGTAGTGCACCTAAACCAATTATATCATCTATAAAACTTAAATGTAACATTTATTGTAAACATGCTCATAGTAATTTTTATGAAATACTGTTGCAACTTTCTAGTTGAGTTAACTACACTGTTTAGATACCAAAAATTTTTTATTCATCGCAAGTCTGCTGAAAATAACAAGTTTGATTTCATAAAAAATAAATAAAATTCCATGCGGCATGAAAACAGAGATATCTTTTAAATGGCCTTACTATTAAATTTTTGAAATCTGAGGAGGGGTCTCCAAACTTTCCATCAATATGTGGACATTAGTGATATAGTTTAACAATTAGGGTGCCACATATGTCAAATCAATGTTATATCTCACATCTGATCCACATGGGATAACATAGACAGTACTATAGAACTTCGGTTCAGTGTAACTTAATTATGTTTTGAAATCGTATTTTGGCATAAGTACTTTAGTTTAATTGGTATTGCAGTGAAAGAACAAAGTGTTTTTCTTTCATTATTTTGCATGCAGATTTTTTGATACCGGCCATCAAATTGCACAATGCTTTATGCAATGAAAATAGATAAAGGCAACATAGATTCTATGATGCAAACAAAATCATGCTACCTTGATAAAATATTTTACTCTGGAAGCTAAATATATATATATAAAACTTAAAAAGTTATAAACTTCATTTATTATTTGGGTCGGCACGAAGCTCTGGGAAGATGTTCTGTGATTGGTTGATTATAACAATGAGTCAATGACAATATTAAAGCTATATAATGGATTTTCTAAAGAACGAAGCAAGAACAATATTCCTTTTGTTTATGTAAGCCAAATTACGTCTTTTGTCATTGTCATAATCAACCAGTCACAGAACATCTTCCTAGAGCTTCGTGTTTACCGTCTTATTTGGAAAGAAAGCGTGTTCGACTGTCCGTGACACGTGGCATTTCACATGCAAACTGCACACGCTACAATTAATATATAAAATGATAATTGTATAATTGACTTCTAATTTGACAAATGTTAAAAATATTTTGTCTACTTTTTACATGCAACAGACTTAGCACTTAAAATGGCAAAATACTTACAAAATTCTCATCATTGCAACTAAAATATTGCAGAATTTTGAACATAATTTCAGAAACAAATATTCCTTGGAATGCCGGTTTGAACTTTGATCTTACCCTTAAACCACTTACTTCATGTTAGGTGAAATATAGTCGCACGACTTATGCCTGCGAGCAGAGCATTCTACGATTTGCTACATAGTCTGCGAATCTGCAACAGAAAACCTGTTTGTTGAGGCACGTTTTCTACGTAATTCCGGTAATCCGAGTAAAAGTATGCAATATATTTTAACTCCTATAGTATTTTTTTTTTCATTTTTATTTACTATATTCATATATTTTTGTTTATTTTATTTAACTTATTCAGTTTATTTTTAACATCAGTTTATTCAGCTACTAAAATGCATAAAGTTTACAAATTTAACATTAAATTATACGCCCCGACATTCGTCTGTTATTTTTACTTACCTATTCCATCCCAATTACTTATGAACCCCTTTTATTTATTTATTTCATCCCAAAGCATGAACATTTACTTATGAATGATCACAAAGAATATTTAGCTAGACACCTTCTACAAATCTTCGCATGCTTTTTATATTTCTGCAAGCTCAATCAGTATGTTCACTGACTATGGTCTTAGAGTACATTTAAATTTACAATATACCAGTAGGATCAATACCCTGGATTCCAGAGCCTTCGAAGTAAATCATAAATTGAAATGTCGCGAAGGCTCTGGTTCAACGGGGCGATTCTTTGATTAAACCGCGCCAATC